CCCTCCTCCTCCTCATCTTCCTCCTCCCCTCCTCGGCATTCCTGCTGAACCGCTCTTCCGATCTTCCTCCTCCTTCTCTTCCTCCTCCTCCTCTTCTTCCTCCCCTCCTCCTTCTCCTCCACCCCTTACCTCCCCTTCCCATCCCTTTTCCCCTCCCCTCTTGTTCTCCTTCTCCTCTTCCTCCTCCTTCTTCTCTTTCTCCCTGTACTGTTAAACTCAGGGCTTTGCACATGCTAGGGAGTACTCTGCCACTGAGTTATGCCATTCATCTATTTTTAATCAATTTCATTTCCTTGGCCAGGCATAGTGGCGCATACCTGTAATCCCAGCAGCTTTGGAGGCTAGGCAGGAAGATAAAAATTTCAAAGCCAGCCTCAGCAACTTGGTGAGACCCTGTTTCAAAATAAAAATGGCTGGGCATGTAGCTCAGTGAGCATAGGTTCAATCCCCAGCCCAAAAAAGAGGGGGCACTACATATGAGCACTGGGCATCAGTGCAGTTGCTGCATGTCAGCCTCAGTCAGTTGGTGGTAGCAGTTCTAGAGTGAAATTGATGTCACCCGGATCACAGACCTCTGTAATCACTGTAAGAGAAGCCACAAGTTTTTGGCCATTTTCAGCTCCAATTGGATGGGAAAATGGTTTCTGCCCCTCACCAAGACTTATGGTGGGAAGAATCTGCTAAAGCAGAGGGTTTCATGTTCAGTGGCCAATACAATGACACATGTCAGTGTAATAGAAACCCAGTTATTTTCTCATAATATGAAGTCTAGGGGAGGCAGTTGATGGATAGGACAGGGACTCAAACATTTCTCAAGTTGTTTCTGGGTAGCATGACTTGTGACTTCTCATGACTGATTGCCTAAAGGGTCCCAGGTGGCACCCCTGCCAGCAGGTCTAGCCTCAAGGCAGACAGAAGAGGGGCAGAGCTCTGCCAACTGCATCATCTTTCCTTTTATTGAAAAGGCAAAATCTTTCCTAGAGATCCTCCATAGACCTTTGCACATGTCTCTTTAACCAGGATTGTCATAAAGCCCATCCTGGAAGTGAGGGAAACTGGGAAGATATTTAGTTGGTAGATTGCTACATCCTCCCCAAACTGGAGCTCTGTTACAACAAAAAGGAAGAAGTGGAGCTAGGATGAGCAATGAGTACTGTTGGCTCCAATTAGGACTGAGCCTGAAAGGGTGATAAGAACCACCAAATTGCTCCCCATGCCATTTATCCAGAGACCATATTATATGGTTTTTGAATTAGCCTGCTTTCTGTTGCTCTAACAAAATACCTGAGGATGGGTACTCTATAAAGAAATGAGGTTTATTTATTTCAGAGTCCAAGATTTGGCAGCCCCTGCAGCTGGACTTTAATGAGGGTCATCACAACATAGTGAATGACATCATGTGGGAGGACATGCAAGGGGTAAAGATTTCATGGCCAGGAAACTTGGGAGGGACAAGTCTTGCTCTTTTTATAACAACCCGCTCTCACAGGAGCAAATGGGGCCCATGAGAAGTCCATTACTTCCTTTCAAGGGCCTCATCCCCAGTGGCCGAATTACCTCCCACTAGGCCCATCTCTTGCAGGTTCTACCACCTCAACACTGCCACACTGAGGACCAAGCCTTCAGCCTATGAACCTTTGGGGGACAAACCACATCCACATCATCACAAGCTCCAAAAAAGCCAACACTGTAAGAGCAGATGTCCCAGTTTACAATATGTGCGTATGTGGGGTTAGGGAAGGTGTCTCTGAGAAGTCACTGGAAGCAGCCAAAGCCCCCATTCCTGAACCTCTGTGATGTCACACTTGACATTTCTTCCCTTCTCTGCTGTAGTCATAGCAGTCTGGGTGCCAAAACAGAAGAGGGATCTGGTGTCCCTCATTTCTCTGAGAACAGGAGGCCTAGCCATGCCTTTCTCACAGTATGTCATGCACCAACTCCAACTCTGCTCAGATATTCCTGGTTTCTCCCAATCCTCTTTCAGCTTTAATGCAATGCTGCTGGTCACTTTCAGTGGCCTTTTCTCCTCCTCATGAATGTCCCATGCAAGCTGTCAGTTTTCTTAACAAAGAGAAGGGAAAATAGACAATGATAGTGCAGAGGCAGGGAAGTGGAGAGAGAGGGTCAGCAGGGGAAGGAGGATATAGAGTTAGAGGGACCCGATGTGCAAGCACAGAGGTCTAGAGTGCCTGATGCATTTAGGGAACTGTGGGTGACCGATAATGCTGGTGACATTTGGTGGAGTCTTCATGGTCTGTCTATAACCTGGATATTTAGAGCTGTCCTTAAGGTGTGTAAGTCTGACCTCAGGTGAGCCAGGCCTCACAGGGAGCTCTGGGTTACCACAGACTAGAACTGAGCCTGGCTCTGGTTTCAGTTGCAGGTGGCTGGCCCAGAATGGGGAGTGGGCTTTTCCCGAGGTTATGGGACTTCTCTTTGTCCTAACCATCTGCAGTATGATTTCTCTCAATTTCTCAGATCCTGGTATCTTGCATCGAGGTAAGACTTCAGACCCCTGAGAGAAGGAGGTGGCACCCCAAGGGCTGATGCCTACAGAGGTGATTTCTAAAGTGCTAACCCCACCTATGAACTCAGGATCCCTCTCTCCATGTCATCATTACTTAGGCCCTGGCACTTCATTTCCCAAGCCACTGAGGTGAGAAGAAACAGAATCCTGGAGGTTTTTCAGTTGCTTTAGAAGGGAGGACTGAGCAGGCTAGCAAGAGAGGCAGCAGGCTCTTCCAAACCACGCAGTTCACTCCTCCTCCTCCCCATTTCACACACGGCTCCAAGCACTGATCACTATTCCAAAGGGGGGAGTGCCTTATAGAGCTCTTGTGGCTGGATAGCACCTTCTCTCTGACTGCCGCCCATCTGAGTGGTCAGCTTGCTCAACAGGGACCGGGATTCCCCTGCCCACCTCCTCCCCACCCTTCTTGTTGCCCAGTGATACTATGGGGCGGCCCCAAGCATCAGAGTGGTGGAAGGGCCTCCTGCCACTGCCCAAACCTCTTCCCATGCCAGGAGCCTTCAAGCAGGACTCTGAGGCAGCATATGCCCTGGTGCCCACATTGTTCCTTCCACTGCCTGCCCTGGACCTTCCACTGCCCCTTATGCAACATCTGTGTGGAGGTGAGTACTCCTCCTTCCTGTTCACTCTCCCTTCCCCAGGCACCTAGCCAGGACCAGGATTCTCACATCATATGTGGGCCAGGGGTGGGTATGAGACCATCTTCCCAGACTGCTAAAAGTGGCTCTCAGCCACTCTTGGTCATTTACATCTATATCGCCTCTGTGTCTGTATGTGTCCTGAGAGGCTGGCCTTGCTTGCACAGGTGCTGACAGGCAAAGGGCATCTCATCTGTGCTGAGCCTGGTGGAGTCAGGGGAGGGAAAGGCAGTGCCTGTCCCATCCTCTGGCTTACTGATACTAGATACCCAGACTTCTAGGCTGACTGATGCCTGTCCACCTCTGGGTGTCCAAGCTGGAGGGTTTCCTGGGTTCTGAGTGCTCTTTTCTGACGTGCACACCCTGCGCGGACTTACATGTGCAGAAGGCTGGCTGGACAAGCGAGTTCTTTACATCCTTATTCAGTATCTGAGAAAATAGAGGCTCAGACTTACCCTATACCTGCTTGAAGTGACACCAGGCAGGTCTTATCTCTAAAGACTTCACTCATGACAGGTGACATGATGAGCCATGGCGTCCTAACTGTGCTCTAACCATGGAAATGCTAGTTTCGCCCTGGAGATAGGAGCCCATGCATAGGGCCAAGAGCAGGGGAGTCTAGGGGCTAGGTTGGGGGAGGCCTCAAGATTTGGGGCTGATGGGCTAGGCCAGATAGACCCTCAAGACCTTCCTCCTCTCCCCTAGGACTTTGACCACCACTGCAAGTGGGTCAATAATTGCATTGGTCATCACAACTTCCTCATCTTCTTGCCACTGCTCGTATCCCTTGCCTCTACCTGAGTGTCCTGCTGGCTACCTGCCTGATATTCCTCCTGCACGAGACAGGGGCCCTTCTCCCTGGACAAAGCCATGGCGTATCCACACCGTACCAAGGGCCTGCACTGGGAAGAGCACAGGCTTGGGACTGGAGAGACCCACAGCCAAGGGGCAGGGTAACCGATGGTGGGGCTGACGTGGGCGGGGCTAGAGAGAGGAGCCGCTTGGGAGGACCTGTGAAGGACAGGTTGAAGGCGAGAGGGGTCAGGGAGATGGGCGGGGTAGGATGGACCGTGGAGTTAAGAATCTAACGGGGCCAGGGAGTGGGGCAATGAAGGTTGAAAAGGAACAGGAGGGACAACAACGCGGTGGAGTGAAGTTTCGCTTGGCTGACTGGACCAAGTGTTTGGTCCAGGGTGGAAGAGTGGGTGGGTGGGGCTAACTAGGACGGGGTTGGGGAGGGCATGGTCAAGTAGAGGGGCGGGGCCAAGCTTCATCCTAGCTCTACCTGCCACCAGCCTCCTGCTGCCGCTCATCCTGTTCCTGCTGATCCAAGCTGCGTGGGTGAGCGCCGCCAGGCGCCCCTAAGAGGGCCAGGTAAGCAGGGCGGAATGTTCTTGCACCTCTGGGGCTCCAGCACTTTCTGTGCTTTCTCCACTACCCTTGCTTCTTCAGTCCTTCTGGACCCATCCCTTAAGATGCAGCTCAAATCTCTCCTCCCCCTGGAGCTCAGAGTTCCTTCTCCCTCCTGGGTGCATTATGGAGAGCCTACTGTGTGCTAGGCTGAGTGTTATTTGAGGGATGTGTGTAGAGGTAAGTACTTCCTGCACTTGTGTTGATAAGCACCCTGCCATCAGAATAACACCGGCCGTCACCCAGGAACACTCTTGAGAGGGGGTCATAGCAGAGTGTCGTAGCAGACTGGAAGAAACTGAGAGTTTGGCGAGGCCCACGGTTGTAGAGGAGGACATGCATCTCTTTATGTCCTAGGTATCACTGTGGAGAGGCAGAGGACAGGGGGACATTGCCTGATGAGAGGCACTTGTGCAAAAAGGCACAGAAACCCGAAAGTAGGATGTTAACAGAATAATGAGAAAAAGGCTCTAATTGAAGCCTAAAGTGGCATGGGCATGAAGTTGACCCTGTGGGGGTCAGGATTAAAAAGACCCACAAAATCAAGCGTGGAATTTAGTTTTGATGAAGGGGAAACCTGGGAGCTATCGTGGGATTTTTTAAAAGCCGCTTATTGAGGAAGTGGTAAAAATTACCCTTTTTAGTCTATACTTAGGGATTTTGACAAATGGATACTGTCCTGCATTCTCCACTATGACCAAAGTTAGACCAGTTTTATTACCCCAGAAATCCTTTCATCATCTTTTGTTGTCAGTTTCTCTCCCTATGTCCTGGTTTTTCTTTTTCCAGATTCATGTAAAAATGGAGTTGTTGTCTTTTTAGCCTGGCTTCATTCACTTAGCACAATGCATTTGAGATTCATCCATGTTATTGCTCACATCCGTAGTTCATTTCCTTTTATTGTTATGTAGTATTGTATGGATGCCCTACAGGTTATTTATACATTCACCAATGGAAGGATTTTTACATTGTATCTAGTTTTTGGCAGTATTTTTTGTTTGTTTTGGGTTTTTGTACCAGGGATTGAACCCAGGGATGCCTAACCATTGAGCTACATTCCCAGATCCCCTCCCACTTTGTGTTTTCTTTATGGAAATTTTTTCTTTTTTTAATTTTAAGACAAGTTCTCACTAAGTTGTTTAGGGCATCGCTGAGTTGCTGAGACTGGCTTTGAACCTCCTGCCTTAGCCTCCCAAACTTCTGGGATTACAGGTGTGGGGCCATGGTGTCCAGGTAGTTTTGGGCAGTTACAAATAAATTTGCTACAAACATTGGTATATGGGCATTGAACATAAGTTTTCATTTCTGTTGCGTAAATTCTTAGGGGTGTCATTATTGCTGAGTCATAAGGTAACTGTTTATGGAACTTTACAGGAAATTGTCAAATTTGTCTTCTAAAACCACTATACAATTTCTAATTTCTACCAGAAATGTATGAGAATTCCAGTTTCTCCACATCCTCATCAACAATTTGACCCTATCATTTGTTGTTATTTTCTTTTGTCTTTTAATCGTAACCTGTCTAATAAATGAGTTGTGGTATCTCATTAAGGCTCCAGGTTGAGTTTTCCTAATGAGTAATGATATTTTCATGTCTTTTGCCCATTAAAACAACAACAACCAAAAAAAGGGGTTGTTTTCTTATTGAGTTTTAAGTTTTCTATATCAGATTCAGATCTAGGTTTTGCAAATCTCTTCTTGCAATCTGTGCCTTGTCATTCCTTTTTCTTCATAGCATCTTCCCAAGAGCAGGAGTCCTTAGTGTTGTTTTTCCAGGACTGAGGGTTGAATCAGGGGTGCTCGACCACTGAGTTCTCCCCAAGCATTTTGTGGTTGTTGTTCATTCTACATAGAAAATTATATCATCAGTGAAGAACAGTTTCATTACCTTCTTTCCAATCTGTGAGTCTGTATTGTTTTTTCTTTTTAGTGTTGACTAGGAATGATAGGAGTGGGCATCTTTGCCCTGGGATTCCTTTAGTATGGCAATCACTTGACTAAAGGCTCTTTCAGGAAGACTGGTGGGTAGCATCAATGGGGGGAGGGGAAGCTTCAGACTCTGAGACAACTGAACAGACAGAGGAGCCTGTCTGCTCATCACCTCCCATCCTTTTAGTCAGGGGGGAGGGAACCACTGCCATATGTGGTTCCCTCCCCCCTGTGACTCCTGTGCTTGGCCCTTATTCCTCAGCCCTGTGGTCTGCCTGTCTTCTCCCATCTCCAGCTTTTAGTATCATCATTGAGTTTGCCTGACAGTCTTTTCCCTCCCTCCATCCTGTGGTTCTTCCAGCCCCAGGTCAGGCCATAGGCCATCGCCCTTCCTCCTCTGCTCAGAATGAGGCCCTCCAAGTCCAGGATCCTCAGTCTCAAGGGACTTAAATGTGGTCTGCACTGGGATTCACCAGACAGGGCTCCTTTCCATTACCTGCAGCACCCATCTCAGGCACTGATCCCATGCTCCAACTTTCACTCCCACCATACTCCATTCCCTGACTGCAACTCCTCCTGGAGTCACTTGCTTGGTGGTTGGTGGCAAGGACTCTAGAGCCAGATCACATAAGTCCAAATCACAGCTCTTCAACATACCAGCAGGGAGACCTTGGGTATGCTACTTAGCCACCTGGTTGCTCAGTTTTCTATCTATAAAAGAGGGAAGCATGGGTCAATTCACCTAAGAAACAGAACAGTGGCTGATAACATAAAGTGCCCTGTATGCTGCTATTACTCTTACTACCATTCCTTCCCATGTTTTTGCTTCATCTTAAAAGCCAAGCAACCCCCACCCTTAATGTCCCAGGCCTCCACTCCGCTTGTTGTACCCTTTGTGCCTTATTCTCTGAAAGAATATGCTCTTGAACTTGTTATCCTCCCACATGAGTCTCCCGAGTCGTTGGGATTACATAAGTGTGCCACCATGCCTGATTTGACTGAGGCATTCTTGATTCCCTGAAATATTTCTGGCTGGGGGTGCAGCTCAGTGGTAGAGCTTGTGCTTAGCATGAACTGGGCCTGAGTTCTTCAATCCCCAGCACACAAAGAAAAGAAATCTGAATAAATGAGTGAACCAACAAACAAAAGAATCAACATTTGGGGATAGAAGAAAAGACAGAAAGGAATGGAGAGAAGCCTGATACCCTGATCCTCCCAGGATAAGGGGAAGAAGGAGAGGCAGCAGGAAGTTGGGCAGAAAATGGGGCAAGAAGAAAATTCCACTTGATTTCGGTCCTGTGGGGGTATGATGGCTTTTAAAACACAGAATTGGAGCAGGAGTCCCAGGAGTGGAGCCAGTAAGGGAGGCTGGTCCTGGTGTTTCAGAGCTGTTGGATTCTATTCATGTCTAATAGGGTTCCATGTGGGGAGAGGAAAGTATTCAGATTTTCTGCTCAGTTCTTAAAAATTTACTAATTATCTGGGGCTGTGGCTGTGGCTCAGTGGTAAAGCGCTTGCCTCACACATGCAAGGCACTGGGTTTGATCCTCAGCACCACATAAAAATAGATTGTGTCCATCTACAACTAAAAAACAAAATTTACTAATTATTATTTCTTTAAGCATTTTTCTATACACTATGTACAATCAATCAACATTTTCTATAATTTATATCCATCTAATCAAAAATTCTTTCAGTAAATTTAAAAATTCTGTAAAGTTTTTTAACACTTTGCCATTAATTATTTTTTTCTGGTACTAGGGATTGAACTCAGGGGTACTTTATCATTTAAGCTACATCCCCAATCCCTCTTATATTTTATTTTAAGTTACTGAGGGTCTTGCTAAGTTGCTGAGGCTGGCCTTGAACTTTCGATCTTCCTGCCTCAACTTCCCAAGTCACTAGGATTACAGGTGTGCACCACTGCACCTGGCCCAATACTAGTTTCTTAAGTACTGTGAACACATTAAAGGAGGCAGAACACACAGAACACAATAGTTCATGTTGGTTTTGGACATGGTGGAATATTCCAGAGCTGTCCTGATGTGGAATCCTAGTTCTTCATAGTGGAGAATAGTGTTGAAGATCAAAGTCTTCATGCGTGGGCCAATGGAGAGCTGGGGTGGACAGAGGTGCTGCTGGGCCACTTTCCATTATGACAGAACTTTTGCTAGCTAAATCTCTTGAAGTTGAGACTCAAACTGGTCTGGGAGGAGGAGGGAGCAAGGCTTATGAATGGAGTCGGGGGAAGGGAAAAGTGGAATAAAGTAGAGGAGAAGCCAGTCAG